CCAGCAGAATGGCCTGTACTACCAAAACACCAGAGACACATTACTCTTGTACCTTGCTTCCTGTGAGTTGTGCGAGATGAGGTTTCAGTTCTTCTCCAATTACTGAATAAATAGCCACTAGGCAAAATACACTGGCTTTCCGGACACTGCTCTCTGTGTTATCATAACCCTGGAAATGAGAGGAAAAGGTCAGAAGATAAACAGCACTCCCCAACACCCTTCCTGAGCAATATACTACAGTGCTGATGTACATTTTGCAAATGTGGCTGACCTAAGAGATCAATAAAAAAAACCTCTGCTTAACATAATAGTTTGTAACCTGAGTACTCAAAGAGAAAGAGAATGCAATCACCCTATCTGCTCCTTCTGTTATTATTTCTGACATGTTCTAAGTTATTAATATCTAGTTATTTATAGAATTAGGTAACAACACAGGTTTCCTAACACGAGCTCAGGACTCCACACACACTTCTGTGTCCAGTTCAGATGACCGTGAACTATCCTGAACAGTCAGGACACTCTGGAGGGCAGCTTACCTATCAAGTAGGAAAACCACAGGAAAAAACATGTGAAAGATCCCTGCACATCTCTGCCAGGATCTCTGGCAACTTGGGCAGAGCTCAAACTAGCCACCAGGTCACTCAGCAGCTATGGACACCAGTCCCAGACTCAGGCAGAGATCACTCAGCAGCCATCCCACCCCAAGAGAAAGGCAGACAAACACCAAGCTATTGAGCATCAAGGGGAAGAAAAGGCTGAGCCTCCTCATCAGCACCAGGGCAAGCACCACAACCCTCTCCAAGCCCTGTTCTTCCATGGAGTCCCCATTTGTCCATGGAGAGCATGCTCCAGGCTGTTGAGCTGCACACTTGTGCTCACACTGCTGCTGCTGACACTGCTTTCCTCCTCACCACTCTGCCAGGGCCCTCAGTGAGGTAAACTCAAGGTTTGTGTGGTAAACAAGCACAAAGGTTGCTCTCCACACACAGTCCTTCAGACAGGATCCCAAAATACTTCTCAAATGTAAGGAGTAAATTCCTTTGATCACTGAGTTTCTACGGTAAGCAAATATCTCGGACAAACTAGGGTCTGAAACAAGAACCATTTAAAGTAATTGAAGAAGACAAATCAAACTGCCTTTTTAAAGGCATGCTGCTCTCAGACTTTTCCAGTGCATCAAAGCTTCGCTGTTCAGATTGTTGTCTCCAACAATGATGGCTAAAACCATTTTACAACAAAAGTTTAGATGAATACAGAATTGTCCAATTCCCAGAAGCTGAGATTTAAGAATTGCAAGAGCTGACACTACAAAGTTGGGATGAATGCCAGGATGCATAAGGGGAATTTCTGACTTTGCTCTTGTCCTTCCAACATTTTATGCTCACAATGAGAAGGCCTCTTTATCCCAGTTCTCCATGGAAGTCTTACCCACCCAAACACTTCTATCCCTTGCACTCTGACTGATCTGTTCCTGTCACAGTCTCTCCCCAGTAAACACACACATTTTCTCTCCTCCCTCACTGCTACTTCACATATTTCCTTCTTGTTTGCAGCCCCATCCCAGCACTGCCAGCTGCTTGTGCAGGGGACCAGAAGACAACATTTCTATGGCCAGTGCTCAAAGTTAAATCCACAGTGTACAACCAAACCTTAGCACTGGCAAAAACACCGCTCCCCACGCAGCCTGAGAGGGTTATGAAAGAGGCTGAATGAAGTCAGCAAGTAGTTTTGTCTTAATTTCAGAGAGAAAAGAGAAAAGGAGAAACCTGCCTGCTGGGATTAAAATTCAAGTGCAAAGTACCATCAAAGCACAGAACAGCTCAGCAGAATTAAAGGGAAATTAAAGACTACAAGATGTATAGAGACAGTATAAAATGTGGTTAACTCCTACCCTCAAATTTATTACACGGCTGCAACTGGCTTATTTAGGAGTCAGAAAAAGGCATTCAGTTGTGGAACATACACACAAGAACCTGAGTTTTCCTTTCCTTAACCCTAAAGGGATCAAAAACTTCTATAAAAAAATTATTTTACCAAAAATTAAATGGTTTTGTTTACCAAAATCTGGCCCCAGAGGATCCATCATTCTCCCTTAGGGGCATATCATAAATTAATGGTGGCTTGTGCTCAGGAGCAGTGACATGGCATTCTGTACCTGTAACAACCCAGGAATGATATCGGGTAGGAGCTGATGCAACGATTCCTTGGAAATCCTCTCGATGACTTTCGTTTGCATTTTGATGGCAGCTAAGTTAATTGGATAATCTGCAGTCTGAATGATGGGGCAAAGCACCTTGATGCACTGCTCAGGGTGGATGGAACTCGCCAGGGTGGAAGCAGCTTCTTCAGCAGCTCTGACGACCTGAAATGAAAGTGGAACAAACTCTAATGTTAATGAGGTCACACCTGACAGCCACCATTGCTGGAGTGCTCGGAGTGACTGCCAGGAAATGCTTGGGGATGTTCATTAACAGATCTGCACAAGGCTCTCGTGAGTTGAGGGACAACTGACTCTTGAGAATTCACATCCTCTGCCTCCAGTGATATCTTTGTTCCAGCCAGTGGCAAGAAGTCCTTCCTGCCTAACATAACTGTGTTAGTGTTGTGGTTAGTTTGAAAAAAATATCTGTCACCCAAAACAGACAGGCACTCCCAGACCAGGAGGAGCAAGAGCATGACATCTCTCCAGCCACTGGAGGTCAAAGAACCTAAACTCACCAGCTTAGACTGACACAAGATGTATCTCCTTAACCATTACCACCAATGGCCTGCTGCAGTTTTCAGTGTGCTCCTCAGTGCTGAGTGCCCTGTGCCCATGCTGAGACACCCATGGCAGCTGTGTCCTGCCCCTTCCCAGCTGAACTACACTGCAGTCAAATCCAGGTCACAGACACAAACAGGCTTTAGGGAGGCCATGACCAGGCAGCTTTGCTCTCAGCATATGTACTTTCACTCTTCCCCAGCAGGTAGGACAGCTAGTTCAAAGAAGACCCAAATCTGGTCTCTTCTCCCAAGAGAATTTATTAATTTTACATTCTGCAGTAATTGGATAAAAAAGAACAGGATGGGAAGGCAGGTTTTCTTTTTTCAAGTGTCTGTGCTAATTGCCAGGCAACAAAATGAAGCTTCCTCTTGGCTGCACTCTTCCTGGCCACAAATAACACACTCTTTGCTCTTCATGTTCTTGTTACAACACAAAAGGTGGAGGATGCTTTTTCCCATCTTCTCTCACTCCCCTCTCCTCAGGGCTTACTTTAAAGGGAGGGTAAATCCTGAATAGACAGAGATGCTCCCATGGACAGACTTAAATCCAACACCTCAACTTTAAGAAGAAAGAAGCATTCACAAATCCTCATGTTTGGGATCTTCCAGCTAGTCCCAGGAAGCCCCTAACTGAGCCCAGGAACATTAAACCTCTTTTCTGGTTGTGTGGGAGGCTCAGGTGCCCAGCACCAATTCTCTACCTCCTCCTAAACTGAACTACCTGGAATTGTCTGAAGTCAACACTTTGAAACCAGCACCAGGAAATCTGTCCCAGGCAATCTGCAACACAGCAAATAAATCAAACCACAGGTCTGCCACTTAGACTGAAGCCATGGCTGCTGAATTTGCCTTGTTCTCCTTTCCCACACACCATGATGGCATCAAACTTGGGGATTTCTTTTTGAGTAAGGCAACCTATGGCAGATGTAGCTCTATCAAAGCCTCAAAAGAAGGTGAGCTTTCATTATTTTTAAGCAACTGTGGAAGATAATGCATGAACAAGGAGTAGCTGGAAGCTTATATTAGTCCATGGACTACCAAACACAAAGTTCAATTGACTTCTAAGATAACAGCAATTAATAGTGACCAGAAGGGATCATCTGCACGTACACAGCCTTTACCCACAGCATCATAGCCATGCTGCTAACATTCATCTTCCACTCATGCTGACAGCTACCTCCCCGAAACAGGAATGACACAAGACACTTGTATTCCCAGGAAACAGCAGAACTCATCCACTTGGCTTTTGGCATTCTCTAAGGCAGATCCAACAGTGAATGTGATCTCACACTTCACACAGCACAAATATTGCATGCAGGCAAGATATGGGCAGGATGGTAAAGCAACCTGAGATTTTTGGACTGCTTCTGTACCAGTGCCCTACTTACACAAGTAAAGCTGTCCAAGTGCTCCGTTTACTTCAGGCCTTTCTCAGAATTTAATTATAACATTAAAACATATTCCAAAATGAATGGCAATTCACAATGTGGTCAGTATTAAAAAAAACGCTTCCTGAAAGATCTGTGAGTAGCCATGCAGAACAGAATGCTTGCTTTCCCACTTAACAGCAAGTTTTCCCTCTTCCAGCTATTTCTTTGCTAATTTCTCTTCAATTTCACACATGAGAAGCATGAAAGTTAATATTTTTCCACATAAGTTAGTACTAGCTTAGGAGCCAGCACTGCGTGATTTTGTTGGGAAAGAAGAGAAACACTCAAGTACTTAAGGAAAGCCTGATGCCAGTCTTTGATAGCCCAGAGTGGAATTTCTAGAGTGGATTAAGTCAGGAGCTCCCAGAGGGTCTCTAAAGGAATCCAATTCCTGGCACTGCAGCTTCTGATGTTTGCTTTCCACAAAGGATGGAAAGCACAAACTTACAGTGTTTACCTGATACTTTACCATCAATTTAACTATCCACTAGCAACCCACTAGCTAAAAACCCCTGAATATTTCTATTTGAACACAGGCCACTTAGGATTTTGTTCTGCAGCAACGCCAAACACTGTTGGGAAGTGTTTTCAGACACTCTCAGAAAGAAAAGCTTTCACATATATCACAACACACTTAAACAAAATTGTAAAAAAAAATAATTAAAACTTATATCCTCTTGGTATCCTACTTGATAAAAAAGCAACAATATTTTAGTATAAACCTATGGCTAGACTCTGATCTCAAACACACTACCACGAAAAAAAAAAAAGGAGAAGATGAAAAATTTAATGAATATTCTATCTGGGTTTCAGCTCCATATCCTGTTTTCACACAGTTTACTATGCCTATTATGTTGAAGGTATGAAACAAGTGCATAAGACAAAAAGTCTATTAACCAATTCCATGTACAAGGAGCATCAAAATACAGTGATAATTTTTCACAAAATAAGCAAAGGTTCAACAGCAACAAAGGTCACACATTTTGCCCATTAAAAAGTGAGCAAGGGAAGTTGTGAAGGTACAGAAATTATTTATGGCCCTGATGATCCTGCTTTCAGCACTGCTGCCCAGTTCTAGCACAGATGTGATTACATTTAGGCAGAGGCTGGCTATTTCACATCCTTTCTCCCTGCACTGCCTTCCCCCTGAACACAGGAGGATGCATTACACATGTCCAGCATGACAGGAGCTTGTAAATGTGACAACACCAGGGAGACTTCCAAGCCCCCCATGAGCACATCTGGGGGACAATGCCTGCAGCTCAGCCACACTTCAGCAAACCCCGAGTGTGTGATTAACAACATGCTCAAGTCTCACAGAAAAACTCATCCCTGCTGGCACAGGAAGCCAAATGCCATGATTTTGCAATGTAACTACTAGCCCTATCCTGCCTCCTGGCTTTGGCAAAACAAAACATTCAGCCACCCAGACAGACTCTGCATCCCACCAGGGGCTCTCAGTATTTACCCAACGGGCTCGGAGTCCCACTCACCTGGCACTGCCAGAGAAATCAGCAGCATTTCCAAACAGAGGGAAGTACATTACCAAAAGATACAACCTGCCAGGTCATTTGGCAACAAGAACATGCAATTGTAATAGAGTTCAGCAAAGACATTTTGCCATGAGGCACAATGCTTGTGCCTTGCAAATTGTACATACCTTACAATATCAAAAAATCAAGTATCTTTCTTAATCAGGGCTTTAACCTGACCAGCAGAGTGAAACAACCTTAAAAGGAGTGGGAGAAAGGAATAAACAGGATCAAGGAACAGGTCTTCCTCCCAGCTTTGAAGGCAAGATCAACAGATACACATGGGGAAGTGACAGGAAAGGCTCGTACTAGCAGTGACACCACAATAAGTAGTGTCTATATAATCTATCCTTTAAGCTCACAGAAATGAAAGGGTGCTGATTGCTACGTGCTCAGACACAGGAGGATTAAAAGTCAGACAAGTTAACCAAAGGGAAAAAAAATAGCCAACACACACAAGGAGGCAGGCAGAACCATTCACAGGGAAAGACTTTAAGACAGCTGCAAGGGGGGAAGGATATCCACAGGGAAGCATCACTGTATGCTTGCTTCTTGCTAGTCAGTCAGGTAGGGTGTCAAGCAAAGCAATTTTTTTGCCTGACCTCATATAATTATTCTTAGGAATCTCAGATGTACAAAAGAAAAGTAGAAAAGTCACTAAATGATGGTGGCAGCTGGAAACAGCAGGTTCAAAAGGGTGGCTATGAGACAAAATGATAGAGAGCCTTCTTTGAAAGCAAAGACACTAAACTGTGTGTAAGGGATGTCACAAACATTATTTTACCTCCTAGTAAAAGCTTAGAGCAAACCATGGCTTGAACTGGATAGATTGACATCATTCAACACAGGGCAGGTAGCCCTGGAATGCAGATCTAAGAGATAGCTCTTGCCCTTAAAGCAGCAGGTTTTACTCCTTTCTAAAGGCTTACCTTGAGCTCTACACACTGGTGACTAGATTCAGCCTGACTTCTGCTGGCATAACATAAGCTCTGTGTGCTGGTGGGTTCCTTGAAAGACATCTGTGATGCATCAAGACCTTTATAGTGAGTCTCAAGAAAGACAAGTTTTTATACTTCCACCCAGTTTGCTTTAGGGAAGAAGCCATATTCACATGCACAAAGCCAGCAAGGTGTAGCACACAGAAAGCTGTTCACCTCTAGCAATGTCTTCCTTAATGCTACCAAGGGCTAAACTTCAAAGAAATGGGTCAGGCAGTCCCAGGAATATGCATGGCAATTGCTTCCTGATTTCAGTGTGAGGGGATATGCTGACATTCAGTATTAGTGTGATCAAGACAGTGGCCTGCCAGAGATCCTTGCCTTCTAATAGAAAAGCACATTGGAATCACCAAAGTTCTACAAGATTTGCTGGACAAACTTTGGATGACAATTCCCACTGGTTTACCTGGTTCACAGCACACTGCAGCCACAGGATCCTGTTCACTTAAGACAGCCAGAACTCAGACTCCATCTCTTCCACTCATTTTCTTCTGCTCAGCTATTACTCCATGCATTAACATGTTGTTTGCTGCCTGCTGGCTGCAGCAACCAGCTTACAGGTTTTGATAGTTTCATTTCCACTTTAAAGACACACAAAGTACTGACAACTAAGGAAAGAAAAATGTCCTGACTCCCCTAAGGCAGATCATGTCAGGTTCATAGGCTACACAGGGCATCAGTGTAACATGCAGGGATCTCAGCAAAGCAGGACCTGGATGAGAGCTTCCCGCAGGAGCTTAAGGTGGAGTACTTTGCCATGATTGCTAGTTATGGTGTCTCTGCAGGAGGCTGTAGAGGATGAGGCAGTGCAGGCAAAGCCCCACTGAAAGTTTAGAGGCTTTGTACACCATTGTGAAACACCAGAGAAGTGTATTAAGGAGAAGAAGGTTTTGCTTACAGGCTTATGAGGCATGTGGCTGTGCTTTTGAGCCAATTTTTGCCATCTAGAGGTGGTTACTTAAAGCCTATATAATCTAAGCTGGAGGGGATGGAGGTTTACCAGTACCTAGTCAGGCCAACTCCCATCCCTGAAGGCTTTACAGTCTGATCCAGACAGGAACAAACAATTATGGACTTGGTTTCAAAGCAGGAAGCGGACTCAGCAATGGGGAGTGCTAAGCAGATGAAAAAGCAGTGTGATTTTTATAAGGATTCAGAGATGAAGTAGATTACACTGCTTCTCCTGGGCACTAAACATTTGAAATGTGTTGGGAAACAGAAAAAGGCACATAAACATATTATGAAACATTAATGACTGCCCACTTGCGGCACTTGGAAGCTTCCAGCATGGCATAGGTAACAATTAATCTTCAAGGCTATGATCATTTGGTGCTTTTTGTTTTGCAGAAACCTACACAGATCATACCATCATCAGAGGACAATTACAATATATAAATGTCAGAGGCCAATCTAAAAGCACTCAACAAGATAATAAAAGTTATCTACAGGTAATGGTTAACTGATTTTTTTCTCTTCTTCTCCCTCTTTTAGAGAGTTACAACAAAGAATGTACAATAATGTACAATAAGCATCCCAATTATGCTTATAGACCTCCTATATCACAACATCCAGAAATTACATATCTAAGATATGGCACAGCATCCTTTCCTTACACATAGAAAACATACATCAGTTAAGTCCATAGGCTTTGTGCCAGAGACAGAAGCAGGGAATTAGCTATCCTATGATTTTTCACTCTGATGCTAATTTCCAAGATATTAAACTATTTCTGTTTTAAAATACTCAATAATAAGAAATTATCCTCATTTTGTTGGCATGAATCTGAAGCAATGTCATATCTGTGGTATTGGGTCAGCAAGCAGCATCTCTCCTTAGCTATGGGTGAGTAACTGCACTGGAACAAATGAGTTAATATTAACTAATTGGCAACAGAAAGATGGTTCTCTTCCAAATAACTCCAAACAAAGTCTGATAAAAATCAACAAGATTTAATATCATCCACAACTTCAATTATGTTCTAGTGCTCCACAAGTAAGTAAAAGGCATTTACATGTCAACCCCCCTAAATGTTTCCAGTTATGACTGAAGCAGGCTTGACTCTTCACATCACCCCATTAAATCAACAGCATCGAACAGACTGTTGTACTACAAACAGTATGAAAACGGGACAAAGTTAAAAAAGGCAAACTAAACATGAATCCCAACCCAGAGCCTTCTACTCTGTAGCCTAGGGTTACATTAATTGTGACCTGTTACTGAGGTCTGTGCTTTGCCAATCTCCTGCATTTGCACTCACAACAAGGTGTGACTCAGCTCCAACTCCATGTACCAACCTTTCCTCTCTCATATCCCTGGGGGGAAATGTGGTGCTCTCAGCTGTGCTGATCAGCTCTGCTGATCCCAGACCTCGCCTTCAGCAACAGAAGGCAGATGATTTTTAGCCACGGCAAAGACCCAACTGTCTGAAGACTTCTGCTTGGACTTGGAAAAACAGCCAGGTATCCAGGCATCCCAAAATATCTTTGCTACCACTGTTTTGATACCTCCAACTATGTAATCTTGAATAAAATCATAGACCTTTTCCTGTTTTAAAAAACAAAAAAAACAACTTGAACTAGATATCAGCACTCAACTGGAGGAGGGGGTGATATTTGCTGGTTGGTGAATATATTTTTTGTCACTCCTGGCCATGCTGAACAACAGCAATACTGGAATTTGCGTAGACAAACAAACCTTCCTGATTTCCAAAGAACTACCACTTACTATGACTTCTTGGAGACAGTACCCAGCCTGCTCCTCTTCAAATTCTCTTTGCTAGATCACTTTAGATTGAGTCTCTGTGGGTCATATATAATTGAAAATGTGAGCAGTAGCAAATGCAGTAGCAGGAGTAATTAGCAGTCCCTGTGCTGAAGGGGAAATTCAGATAAGAAAGACTGAAACAGATACAGCTTGCTCAAAACAGACATCTTCTGCTAACTTACACAGCTTGTTAACACCAAATTACCAATTCATAACCAAGGATCACCTTTGTCTTCTGCTACAAGGCAGAAGCAGCTCAGAAACAGAACAAACTGGAGTGACATCAGGACATCACTGAAATAAAGATTAACCCTTTCCCAACTAAATTATATACCAGCTATCCTTGAAATAGTTCTTACGGTCTAGGGGAAGATTGGATTTTATGTAGTTTAAGGAGAGTGCACCTTTAATACTGCTCTGATATAGTGAGAAAGCAAGCTGTAGAACAGACTGCTCAGAACTTCCTTTCCCTCTTCAGCTATCCTTTGAAACTGCCCTTCACTCACAAATTGGTGAATCCTCACTTAATCTCCTGCTCAGTAAGATCCAGTTAAAGAGCATCCTCCTCCCCTGCTGGAAAGAGCAGTGCTGCAAAGTCAGCAGTGGGAGCGAGCTGAAGGGCCACCACAGGAAGGGAATTTGTGACCTTCTGGCTCTAGGCTATAAGTTTGACCAACTGAGCCAGCCCAAATGATCTCTCAGTTAATTTTTCACAGACTTAACTGAATCAGCAAGTCCCAACTACAGGTAAAACTACTTCAAGCATATTCACAGGTATATATTTAGCCTAGCTCATGTGGATATTCAAGTGCAGGTACCTTCCATAACTTCAGGAATGCCGATATCCTCAAACTACTGATGGACAGATGATGCCTTTCCTGGGCTGCATCATGGTTCTGAGAGCCTCATGTACACAGGGATCAGAAAACACTCATACACAAAATGAAAAATCCAGAACTAGTGCCCCAATTGACATAGCTGTGCTGTATGTGCAACAGATGCAAAACAGGAATATACCTGCAGTGTCCTGCTGTGACAGCTGTCACCCGAAGGTCCCACTGCAGCAGCTGATGTCTCATTATGAAGATGCTGTGCAAAACCATGGCAAATCAAAGCCACACTATGTGCAGCACAGTAGCTACTTGCTGAGCACTGTACAGCTCAATTACTCTATAAAGAAGTGCCAGAACTCCCACCTCTCGTTCCTGGTTTATTCTTCTTGCTTTTCTCTGGGAGGCACCTCATGCAAATCCCAAAGAATCTTTTCACATCACAAGAATACAGAGGCATAAAGCATGGTGTTTTCAACATTGTTCATAATTTCTGTAAAACCCACCAGTCCCCCAGAACAGTGAATTCTGAGGGGCACTAAAAACAATGCCAGGGACAATCTGGAAAAGTCCTGCTAGAAACTTTAGTTCTGGAGGATTCCCAAAAAAAATACAAAGAGCACTGAGTCAAGGTGAGCTGACAAGCATGCAAACAGGAAAACTTGCCAGTAAAAGGCGCTCCTTCAGAACATAGTGTTTTGTCTGACTGCTTTATCAGAAAATCAATTTACAACTGCTTCTTACTACTCTGAACTGAAAATGACAGGGGTGCAAAGGCACTAAATCAAGAAGAAGGTAGGCAGAGTAGGGCAGCCCTCATTCATTAAAGCATTAAATATTTTCTACTTCTGCATTTTAGAGAAATCCAGACTGTTATTTTCCTTCCCTGAGAGTGTTTCTTGTTTTGATTTTCAAACAGTACAGTGTCTGCTACCCACGGTTAAAATAACCTTGTGTCAGCCCCCCAATGCTCTGGAGCAGTCTGGTCTATTTTAATCATCTTTTCATGGCCAAATATCTTCAGAGGTGCCTAAAACTGCTAATTTAGAATAATCCTTTTGTAGAGAAGTATAAATGCCTTAGATTTCAAACCAAGGACTTTTGTAATAAAACCATCACAGACCGATAGGGAAATTCTGGTAGCACTTTTCAGAAGGTTTATTTCAAACTTCCAATATGCACAAGGTAGATTAAAAGATCCAACTTGGAAAACAATCTAAAAAGTTTAACTTTAAATGTAATTTGAATTGATCTACTTAAAATGTTATCCTTTATTCTTGCTTTATTTCAGAATACTTTCAGTTTTGTATACGAGTTCTCTTACAAAAAGGAAAATATAATTCATCCTTCCTTTTGCTTCTTCCTCTGCCACTGCAGCATGGCCTTTGTCCATTTTCTCCTGTTACTGACCAGTTCCCAATTTTCCAGCACAGCCCAATTTCACCATTCAGTTTTCACACACAATTCTGCTTAAATACAGCCTTTGTGTTCTCCAGTACATTTTGTATTCTTACCTGTACACACAGAGGCAGCACAGTGCCCCCAGCATGCTCTAAAAAGTAATTAAACATGCACTTTTTTCACACAGTGTCTCAACCTCTCCCAGAATGAGCAGGGAAGTCCTGGGAAATTAACAAACAGTGGCATACCACTCCAGACAGCTCCAAGTACACATAAATAGCTCTCACAGTCTCCACTTTTTTCCTCACTGTTTCAGCATGTAAAAATTCTATCTCTTCATACTTGGGAGACTTAACACTGATTTGTTCCACTGTCAGGATGGCTCAACACATCTGCCTGTTAAGTCTCACAGGTCCTACATTTCTTCTGCAGGTCCATATTGCTTTCCCAGTAGCTGAAAGGTTCACTCACCTCCTTGTGGGAATCCTTATGTGCTTCCAGTGTTTTCATGATAGTCAACTCCGCATAGTTCTTAAACCTCGCCGGCTGGTTCCGCAGGATCTCCCGCAAGACTCGCAGCGCCAGGGCTCTTATCGAATGCTGTGAGAAAAACAGACAATAGAAAAAGATAAGAAAAAGATGCTTCTCAAAATCATGGTTTGAAGTGAATTCTCCTGGCTTGCCAGAAATTCACAGGGCTCCCTACACTACCAGCTCCAGTGGAATAAGCAGTGGAATCAATGTAACAAAATTCAGAATTGGGCTCCTTGCTTGCTCTTGCACAGAAAGCCGCATAAAATTAATCTTCTCACATATACAAGAATCAGAATGACTATTTTCCTAAAGCCTATATTCTTTTTGCAATGAAGTACAAATTTGTACTCACAGGAGGACATCAGCATTACATCAATCTACAAAGAAGGTCAGATCATGTAATGTTTTGCCTTTCCTTTTTGCTCAGCTTGGCAGATCTCAAATTGGGCTCCATCTGTGCCACAATGTTTCTCATGTACTAAAGCAGTAAAACTGACTCTTCCTGTAACTCCTAGGGAAATTACTTTCAAGGACTTGAGTTACTGTAGCCAACACTGACCTACGTCTTCATCCTTCATAGCAAAAGCTCATGAGCAGAAGAGATTTATAACACCTGTTTCAATTTCATAACTTACACTAAATTTTTGACCTGTGGCCACTCCAAATAGATTTCATTATTTCAGCAGAGGAATACATACTTTACTTCATCCTCAGCCTTTAAAATATGTGCTTTGCTATTCATCTGCAAAATTCATACAGTAGCACAATTCACATGTACTTAAGACAAAGTCACCAGACCCTGTGATACTTGTGTGATGGTGCTATCATTCAACATGTAGAACTAGAGCAGCTCATGCTTAAGAACAATGACTGAGACAATGTCAGCCACCTATCCTGCCTCAGAATTAACATTTCTGAGAGCATGACATATATTTTACAAGGAGTATAAGGAATACAATAGATTTTTGAATCAGATGAAACAAAATAAAGAACTGTGAGTGCTTTGAAGCCTCAGTATTATAATGTTCAGATGGAGTGTGGCTCTGATGTGAACATGCAGTAGGGTGTTGAGCCTTTACCAAATAGCATTATGCTGCAAGCTAAACAAATATCCCCAAATGGAAAAAAAGCCTAGCCTGTAAATTACCACTTTAATCAACTACCAAACATAAAGCTGTGATAATAACAAAGTTTTCTTTTTTTTGCATTTCAAAACAAGATTACCTATAAAAGCAGCTTGTTCTTGACAACATTTTTACAAGAGACAGAAACCCAACCCATGAGATCTAATACCCTGGGTGTCTTTAAACTACACAAGAGAAAAAAAAATAATTTATTCTAAAATACCTTTATTTTCCGTCCTGGGAATGGGCATAAAATAGTTAAGAGTTTTTAACTTTATCCTAACTCAGAAGAGAATAACTGCAGTCTTGACAGTTCTTTACTTGACTAGAACTTCTTTTTTTCCGATTCTAGTTCAATTTCCTAGCTATTTATTAGTAACACTCTGGAGGGAGGGGGAAAACTGGGACATTTTGGAGTAATGGAAAACTCAGCACTGAACAGTGTGAAAACTAAAGTTAAGTTGTCAACCTTCAAAAGAAAAAAAATGAGCAATGCAGTATCACTGATGAGTGGCAGGTTTCATTTAAACTGGTGTGTAGGAATTATAACCCAAGATGAAGCAATGTACAGGAGAATTAAGACAAAATCTACATCTCACATCTTTGTCTCCAAGCGTTTCCAGCAGCAAGAGCAGAATGGTTTTGAAATGCTCCTCCCAGACTCCAAGATTATCTTCCCTTGTGATCTTTAGCAATTCCAGGAGAGCTCCTTTCCGCTCCTCCACCCGCTCGTTGTGGTTGGAGAGCTCTTTCAGAAGATCAGCCACCAAATCCGAATGGTCAATGGGTACTTCTAGGACAAATGGCAGCAAATCATTTGGAGAAATGGGGAAAAGATCAAAGGTGCCAAAATTTCTCACCCTCTACAGAATAAGGTTCATGTAACAAGGGGCCCCCCAAAAATGCATCAAATTCCAGGTGGCCTCAGTCAAGCAGGCAACAGAATCTGACTAGCCCATAATTTAACCTGAGTTCATAGCAGGGCTCATGCATCTGCACATGGCTTCTAACGAACCAGGAAGAGCTGACAACTGGACTTCTTCCAGTTCCAACAATTACTTCTACAAGATGAGAACTGCCGTGGTTTTTCCCAGACATACACACCCAAAACCGGTGGTCACATGTATGACCTTTAGATTAAAGTACAGTGACTCATCAGTGTACTGCAAAAGAATAAAGCTGATGTGTAGCTGCACTTAAATGAAGTCAAGCACTCAATAACAACAAGCTGTTGAGTGAGGCGTTTCAGCCATGAAGAGGGGAAGGTCCCAAAGCAGATGCATGTGGATGCTTAAGGGAGCAGTTTGCAGGAAACCCCAGACAAACAAGAATCAAAACCACAGTATAATACTTTTTCTCAATAGCCACAGATGAGGTTCTGCTGGGACATGAGAACAAAGGGTATTTCATACCAAGCCTCGACTCAGATGCAATGTAATACACAACACATGCACAGGCAGGCACGTATCTGAGGGCACTACCCATACACAAATACACCAGAGAGGCAGCGAGCTGCCTGCAGCATTACAAGGTGAGCTGATACAAACCATCCCGAAGCTGATCCATGTCATCATCAAACACTGCTTCCTTCAGGGCAGTCTTGTCGTAAGTGTTAATGGTGTCAGCGTAAGGATAGGGGTTGTACTCCCGAGCACGGGGCCCTGAAAAGGCGCGGGGAGGCTGCGTGTTCAGGAGGGAGGTTTTGTTATCCAGAGCCATCCTTCCGCCTTCCACAATGTCACTGCTCCCACGGACATCACCACTAGGGAGGGCAAGGCCACCATCTCGAGACACCTGGGGGAATCAGAGGGAAAAAATGAATGTTCAAAATTCTATAGAAACTGTAGCATTTTTAGAGTTCACCCAAAGGCACAGAATTATTCACATGTATTATTTATACATAATACTTGAGTAAAACTTTGATTACTATCTCTTTCTTTTGCACAACTACACCTGCTCAAAAATATCTCGATCACAGTTTCTGTAACCACTCTTAGAGCATAAGATAACACATGAGCTGTGCACTTGGAGTGATCACAGCTCCTAAGCATGTGAGGGAAACCATCCATGCATTTTAAAAACTAACATTTCCCGTAACAGACCTGACTAGATACACTCCATGCAAAAGCCATCACTGAGCCATGCTGAGCCTGAGGAATACTAGCACTGTTTCCATCCTTCATGGGACTCACACAGAAGCCCAGTGAGCACATTCCACAGGAGGCCAGAGCTCAAAGGGAGCCAAGGGAAACAGCCAGTGAAACCCCATAATTAAGGTATAAGGAGTTAACAACTAATAAGCAGAAGATATCTGTAAGAATACAGCAGGAATAACTGGATTTTGTACACTAACAATCCACAGACAGGTTTGATCACAATGTTCTAAAATTTCATCTATCTGGGGACATTAATCAGTGGAATACTTACAAGGTCACAGTCTTTCTTCCCATCACGTTTGATTGGCTCATTTAGGTCCTCTTGACTACGGAAACTAAATTTCTCAATTGCTTCTGTGACTCCACGAAGAGAGCTGTAGATTTCATCAGAGTTTAGGTTCTCCGTGTCATAATCCAGCATACTAAAGACCAAACGTATATGAAATGTTACAAATGAAATTGGGATACTCTTCTGACTGTTAACAAAAACAAGCTGGAGACAGATGGTCTGGAGTACCCTTTCTAACAGTGACTTGTAACACAACATGGATGGAATCAAAACAGAGTTCAGGTCAGAGTTTCCCCTCAAAGGAGAACACTTTGCTGTAAGTGAAGGGAAAACAGATCCATTGTTTCTTACATTCAGTAAGTGTGCTACCTTCTATAAACCAAAAAACCCTATCCCCAGTGTGGCAGTGGTGTATTTTAAAAAGGAAAATAATATCAATCACTATGAAAACTCAAAGGGTTGTGAGAGCTGGTGGAAATGAAATCAGTGAAATTTAAGTTTAATAATATATGAAACTATGACAGATTTAAATGGAAAGAAAAATGCAACTTGACATAAACCTTAGTCTAACAAGGCCCATTTTAATTTATAAAGTAATAAAACCTAACTCACTTGTACAGTGCCTTAATAAGAAAAAGCATTTCAGTATTTGGCCAAGTTTGGGAATTCATCTGACACTTTCTTGCAGTCTATCTGTTCCCTAGAAATTTCTCAGCAACATAAATCCTCAAAAGTTTTGGGATTCCTTGAGGAGTTATCCAAAATTAAGTCTCATGATAAAATGCCTTGCATGCAAGGGGAGATGATATTAAGAGATCTGGCTAAAGAGAAGTTCCTACAAGCTTTGAGAAAATGAAAAAGTATTACTGGCAGGGCTTTGCTCTATCTAGGAGAAGTAGAGTTTTCATGACAATCACTAAATTAATAGATCCAGCAAGAGAGAACAATTTCTGGCAGAGTCTCAGATCTCAGTAGAGCCAGAAGCAAATAGACTGAATCAGACATTTACATCAAGTTGTTTGTCAATAAATGGCAAGAAGTGGCTCCCTACAGTGGTGAATTACTATTTCATAACATTTGGGGAAGAATGTCAGGAGGGGCTTGGACACAGATGGTTGAACTGAGTTGTGTTCCTTTTCCACAAAAGGAAGATTGCCTATGAGGTGGGTGGGGGAAAACCCAAACAAACAAACAAGAAAATCCCTTCTGAATTCTGGATAAACAGCTGTTATTTTCAATGGAACCAAAAGTAGGATATTAAGTATCTACTAAATATCTAGACCCACAGCTTTTTTTCTGGAAGAAACTTGGGAACCTCAGACAAAGGATAAGATTGGCTGCCCAATTCCTTCGGGATTAACACACTGAAAATAGCCATAATCCCTGGCTCCCAAGCAACGTGTTCGCACTACACTCACACAAACATCAGCACCATGTATTTTGGCAAACAAACCAAAGAACAACTCCCCAAACAGTGTCTGGCAGGCCAGGGAGAATGAGAAATCACTTAACAGAGCAAGATCAGGAAACAAAAGCTGTTCACAAACCTACAGAAGTCAAAGTATTCAAGGCTTTTCAGACAGCTGAACAACAGTAATGCACTGTGATGGCTTTCCAGACAGAAGGCAAGGCAGTTTTTAGGTTCTTTAGAAATACCAGTTGGGAACAGGAAAATCTTTGTTTCCTATGATCTCAAAAATATACATTTTGAGCTCAAGTACGTTTAATTCATAGATCTTAAAGGGTTTTTCATACAACTTTGAAGTGGGCAATGAAACCACCATTTGAAAAGGTATACATGTGACTGTACCTGTGTACTCACACCAAGAGATGATGTGACTTAGCAAAGGTCACACAATTATATCCATGGCAGAAAACCCAAGAAATAATCACAAATATAATACTGACAATAAATCTGCTGAAATCATCACTTCTTTCCTCAGGGATGAATTTCGCCCTACACTATTACCAAAGAACAATCAGAAGACAGACTCTTCAGTGCTAAAGAACTAAGGCAATTTCTCAGAGCCATCAATCTGATGCATTTGTCAAAGCACAAACCCACATTATTAAAAAAAATCTAAAGAATCCAGTGATTTCATATGTCAGGAATAAGCCTGTGTAGGAGGTCACATTATGGCTGTGCTCTACATGAATGAAAATTCTACAATGTGAACACACGTCTCTACTGACAGTATGTGCACTGGAATACTTCACAGACAACACAATGGGAGGAATAAAAGTAAAATGGAACTACACTCACCTTTCAGGAAAAAAAAAAAAAAAGGCACAAAAGGGAAAAAAAAATTATGACCCATGCAGAAAACTAGAGGAAAGGCACAGCATGAATAAGAAGTGAGTAGAGATGAGCAGTGTTTAGGGATGTCACAACATTATTTTCCATCTGCTGCACAAAACCAATGCAGCTGTCTCCAAGTTTACCAAGATACAATTTGGCTATTTTCCAGTCTGGAATGAAATACATTTTACTTCCATAAATTGTTACTCAGTTTCCAATCCAAACTATGTGTAAGTAATCCACAGTTCTGTGTCTTCAAGCAGTACACAGTAACTCATGCCCTTGCACTTTCAGGCTCTGGGCTGGAATGTATGTTACATTATTCCAAACCCTATTATTTGGTGTCAGATAAAAGAAAACAGCAAAAACACACTCAACTAGTTTTATTCCAAAAATCAACATGGATCTCCTCCACAGATATCTCCACAATGTCCAAGCAGAGTGAGAACATTAATTTAAAGTTTTTAGCTCTGCAGGTATTCACAGAGGTACCTACTACTGCATTCAACCTTCTCTCAGATGTCACATGTTCTCAAATTTTGAGCCCTCAAAGAAAAAATTCTTCACTTTTCTTTCAACAGTTTTTCATTAGGACCTTTTTCTTTAAGGAAAGACTATATATAGTCTGTCCTCAGGTAACAGACATATCTAAGTCAAGAGAAACCACATTCACAGATGGTCTGTTGTCAGGGTTTAAACTGTAAAAAATCCAAGGAATTTAAGAGAGATCTGACAAATTAAATCTGTACTCAGGTTAGGTTGGTTTTTTTTAAACCAGCATACAGCTTTAGTCCAAGAGCTGCATGCAGACTGGAACAAAACGTGAGGGCAAAAGAGGAGGAATAGATAGAAAATTGCAATTGATAAACTCAAATTCTTGTGGTAAGGTAAGGGCAATTTTAATTTCAATACTACGAATTTCCAAGATGTTTCACCATCACATTATACAAGCAAAGTTCTATGTGAAGTCAGTCCTGAGCTCTATGTGTCCATCTGGAGGTACATGAGTGCCACATGCACAGGGCAGCCAAATTGAAAGATCCTGCCTCTGGTATCGTAACACAACCAGTGCCTGCCAAAAGTGCTCAGCAACTGTGTTCTGCATTGGAAACTGACTGTGAAGCATCTTCCCTGACATCTTCTTGAATGGGTGCAAGAGTCTGGAAAAACCCACCTCTTTTTATTCCCATGTGTATGCTGCATCTTCCCCAAACAGTGAGCAAGTGGCTGCCCATCACCCTTGCTCTCTGAAAGCTTTCATCATCTCTTTTCCTTTTCCAACCAAAGCCTCTGCAAGTCCCACATTTAAACAAATCCCGTGGTGTGAAAGGTAAATAATACTGTGACACCTCAGACAAGTTGGTTTAACAGGTAGCTTGTTACCTGGGAGAGTAAGAGCGTCTGAAAGTCTTGTGGGAAGGAGCAGTGGGGATGGAGTTAGGCTGAGAAAGGGGAGGGGGGTGCTTCGACAGCCCATCTGCACTCCAACCCCAGAGCCGACTGCCGTGACCAGAGGAGAAACAAAAGAGAGAAAAAACAGAGAAAGGAGAGGGAGGAAAAAAAAAAGAAACTATAATCTGAGTGGCTTAGTGCTGTCATGCTGCCTTGGAGAGAGAAAAAAATTAATAGAAACAAAATTAAACAAGAATACTCCATTGAGCCTCACAAGTCTTTGTTTTGGCCTTTATTATTAATTTCCATTTTTATTCCTAACATAATATGATCCACAAAAAATCCAGTCCCTGCTTGTACTAACCAGTAGATTTTACAAATGGATATAGCATCTATAAACAACTCCATTTATAATATTCTATGCAAACAATCCCTGGCCACACATGTATTCAAACTCTAAGCAGGTATTTCTAAGCAATAGGATTTCCCTGGAAGAAAGAAAAATTGGAATTTATTTTATTATTAGACACCTGAAGGTACCTTGTAAAATTTGTCTCCTGGTGCCTCTATAAAAGCCTGCAATCAGGCCCTACATAAGCAGAAAACCTTTGCAGGGCTTGAGATCTGATCCTGTTTCACCTGTTTCAAACTGAACCCAAATATGCAGCAAGTGAAAGTCAGTCTAGAGTGTAAATGTATCATGGGACTTCGCCCAGGTCTCAGCAGACAAAGCTGGAAAGATTGGGTGAAAGCAGCCTCTGAGTTGATTCAGATCACCCCTCAAACGTTCACAGGCCCCTTTAAGTTATTGCATGACCCTGTGCCTTTGGGTCAAAACATTCATTCCTGTGTCAATTTGTCTAACCTCTGCTTTTGTCCTTTTGCCATTATGGCACATGGTTTTCAGAATCACCTTCTAAATGAGAATCGATGCTTGAGCTGGTGGAGTATTCACACCACCACTTTGTTTCTACTACATTTCAGCACATTATCTTGGATAGCTGTATTTGTATCTATGCAAGTGAAAGATACTTTCACATGAGAAGTGACAAACAAGTCAAGAATTGCTCCAGTGCAAACAGCAGCAAAGCCAGTTAAAAAACTTCTCTGAAGAGCAGTGTCAAGACTTTCACTCATTAACCAGCAATCAAATCCCACAGCTATTACATGCCAGTATTATCAAGGAAATACTTCAGACTCCCAGAGTGCTGATGAGAAGCCTCACAGCTCAGGTCTCACCTACCTGAACACGGGCCACCAAACAATGCAGGCTTGTCCTTACTGTATAAAGTGGGTGGCTTATTTTAATTCTGTTTCCATGCCTTTGCTTGCTCAACTTAATACTGAAAGTGTCAAATTTTGGTTTTAATGGTATTTTTTACTATCAGTGAAATAGCAAGCATGCAAACTTACATAGTCAGATAAAATATAGCCTTTTATACTGACACATTTCTTCTAAAGAACTTCGAAGGACTAAACTGTTTTTTTTAATTTTGGGTGATTTTTGTTTATTCGTTTTTAATAATCAAAACTAAGCTCAGGCTTCTGGGTTACTAATAATGGCAGAAACTCATTTCAAATGTATTCACTTGATATTCCTTCAATTACTCCAAAAAAATTCTAGGTGAAGACTCCCAGCCTGAATGTAACATTTAAGTTTGCAGAAGTCGATTTACCATTCAGAACAGTAGTCTAACACCAAAGGACTTCACAACTTAGTGTTTTCCTTTTTGTGCTAGAACATAATTTATTACATCTCAGAGGATTTTCCCTGTCCAACACAAATCTGAGCCATTTATCTGTGCTTTGCCTAGGAAACATTCTTCCCTTTCAGTCTGAAGTCTGGGGGATTTTTCTTATTATTTTCAGTCTTTCCAAGTGCCCTTCCCTGTTTTCTTTTTCAGAAAGCACATCTTTCTTCCATAACTCCTCTCACCAAAAACTAAAACTGTTAAAGAAAAAAAAACCAAAACAGATACAAATGCAGAAGTAACTCACAGATGTAGTGGATATGTCATAGTGACCATGAAGCAGAACTGGAGGGAGTAAATGAAGGCAGGAGAAAAGACTCTGTCCAAGACCCTGAAAGCATGCTACCCTCCTGAAGACTTCAGGGAATACTTAAGCAGATGTTATCATCTGGATAGGCAAATGAGCTTTTGCAGAGTCCACTTCAACCAAAACATACAAGATATATCCAGAGAGCCCAAATACACATACACATAAATACACACACACAACACTCCCAAAAAAATCAGTCATCTGGAATACATACATAATACAGTAAATCTGTATCAATGAAATCTTGCTGACTTGTTGAGGATATTGCCCTCAAACCATTAGTAATATGGGACAGCAGCTATGCTTCACAGCATTTTCACATTCCTACAGGACCCCAACATCCTTTCTACACATATTCCAGCTCCAAAGACATGTATGCCTCTGGATTTTACTCCAGTCTGTGAGCCAGGAAAAAAAATACAAGGAAAGCATAAACTTAAAATCCAAAGCTGGCATTAAGAACTGGAGATAATCCTTCCACTGACTACACTCAGGCTGCCTATATAAGACATGGGCAGGGACAAGGTAAGCAGGGCCTGCACACGGAGCACCCCATGAGGCAATGGGAATACACAACCTGACTACAAACCCTTGGCAGCAGGCCCCATGAAAATGTAAAGCCAAGCCTACTTTTGGAGGAGAACTACACAAAGAAACTAGGAATCTTCATCCTTTTATACTGCTATCAGAATGACCTGGGCATACTTCTGTTCTGAGTTTGTAGAGAGAAAGTGACATTTCACAGCAATGCTGAATAGCAAAAGACAAGTATTTGAAGTGGAAACATGACACTGAAGTACCTATACCAAAGAATGCAATACTGCAGCATACCCTACTTAACCACAATCTGTCAGCACATCTTTCAAAGGCCCTTCTCTGAAAGAAGGACAACCAGAGCTAAATTCTCCCTTTAAGTCAGGAACATGCCCAAAGTGTGCTACACAAGACATTTTCAAGAAGGATGCAGCCCAGCAGAGCATCACAAGCTACTATCCCTGACTTGCAGTACTTGCCACTGCCTTTTCAACAAATGGAAAAAATCTACAGACACTGTTACAGCTTAGAGGGTACTCACCACAAAAAAGTACAGCTTCTCCCTTCCAAATATTTTAAAAAGCTTAAAATAAGCTTCCACCTTTACCTATGACTGAAGAATAACTTTTAAACATCACTCTTGAATAACTAAATCCAGCAAGGAAGCAGGACACACTTCTCGAAAAGACATCTATATTTTTGATTAAACAACTCCAATAACTCTATAGAAAATGGAAGGAATTATTGTTTTCTAAAGGAAATTCCTGGCCAACTACATCCATGGCAGAATGCTCTGGAATTATATGCTCTCTCTAACTAGCCCTTGAGAAAAAATAACACATGGAAAAAAACCCTTCAGTTTCTAAACCCAAAATGCTAGAAAGCAACAGCAACAATGCACATTGTGTGCTTTAATCAATACTTTGATATTTTCCTCCTGACATCAAGAGGTGAGAAGAAAGCAAAGACAAATAGAAAACAGTGAGTGAAATGGCAATAAACAATTGTGTCCCAATGGCAAAACCCAAAAAGCATGGTAAAAGGTTGTGGAATTATAAAGTAAGTGCCACATGCAAACATGGCAACAAAACCACAACGTAACCACAGGGAGACACGGTTAATAATTTCCCATGACAGAAATCAGCAGGGCAACAATGCTCAAGCTAGTCAAAAAGGAAGGAACATAGTTGGAACCGTTCCCCTGAAACTCCACCACTTAATTTCTTTTTGAAACCTTTGTGGAAAAAACTTATAATAGTCAACTTGGCTTCGGCTGGCAAACTCTTGGTTTAGTTTTGAATTACAGCAGATTTAGAAGTCACAAAGATGTATTTATATATTCAAAATTTTCTCAGGAAACCCCAATGATTCCTGTGCTGCTGGAATTAGTATAATTATTCATTAAATGCTAAATGCCTGTACTTTTCCTGACACACTGGAACTCACATGTTCAAGCATCCCTTCAGAGAGTTTTGCAAGTAACAAGGGTAGGTAACAGATTTCAATGTAAACTACTATACTGCACTATGAACTGCAGTCCTCACCCAACATGGCCCCTTATGTTTCTTCCACAACCTGTCAAGAACAGGAGACAGGCAGGCAAGGGCAGCAGAATTTAAGCTTTTCCAGCATGAACCAAGCTTGTCCAGCTAACAGCTTGCTACTGTCCTCCAGTATTTCTATGGTCCCAGAATATACTGTTTACAATGTCATTTCCCCTGCTCTAAGTTTTAATGCTGCAAAACATCCACATTCCCAGCAGCCAAGAGTCAGTGCTGGCTGAATACAAGATTTTGGAGTAGACCAATATATTCTAGGGTAGCACCTGCAGCTTCAGAAAAACACCTGGTTGCAATAGACCTGCTGCCAAAAAGACCAGGCCACAGCTCTGCTGGTGAGAAGCCAGGTGAGCAATTTGGGAGGTATTCAGCACTGAAACAGTCACCACCTCTGCTTGTCCTGCATCCTCACAAAGAATAAGAGGGAACAGCAGATACAGCACTTCTCTCAGTAGCAAAAGCCCTGTAGTATTGTCAGAAGAACTACCAGTTACAAAAGTCCACACCAAAAAAATAGGCACAATCTGAAACTCCTGATCTGAGAGTCATCACAGACTTTGTGACATATGCAATCTCAACAAGACCTTATTTCTAATCCTGCCAATTAATATTTCCTTTATTACCCACAAATGTAATTCTGAAGACGGCCACAGAAGAAAACTAATATGGTAAGAAAAGACATTAAGATTACACAGACAGCATAAGGACTGGAACACTGAAGTCAATCACCAGCCACATATTATCATATTCAAACACTGCTTCTTTGCAGAAATCTACTATAAACTTATTGTCTTGTTTTTGCTTTCAAAGTTGAGTCATATTCTGCAAATGCACTCTCGGTGTTGAAATCCTTTAGTATTTTGCAAGGGGTTTAATTATCCTGCCACATTACCTTGGAGACAGTCCACCATGGGAACAGTTGGTGGGTGAAGTTAGGGGGCTGGTTCTGCTGCTGGAGTGCCGGGAAGGAGTCCGACCAAGGGTATTGCTGGGGGAACCCTGACACAGAAGCAGGAAGACAGGGATTAGCAACGTGTTGCAAAACAGGAGTACAAGTCCAAACAGTGCCTCTGTTTGCTCTAGACAAGCTTAGTGCAGGTTTGACTATGCCTCTTGACCTAAAAATCTGCAGCCATGGTTCATGTAGTCATTAACATGCTCCTGAAGATATGAATCTGAGGATAAAGAAAGTGTATGTGCACTTCTCTACAATCCACAGTACCTGCAAATTAAATACACAACATGTATGGCCTGCAAATATTGCCAGAGAAATGGTTCATCAACCCAGCTTCTCAAACAAGATTTGCAAGGCTCCAAAATACGCTCAGCATTACCCTAGCAATTTAGTATTCTAATTACACAGCTATTTTCCACATTGTCTAAAGCATTCTGATTATGCTTGTTCGGAGCATAAGTAAGCCATCTAATACCATTTTTCCACTGGCCTGCACAATCTTTTATACCACACCAAAATAAGGAGAAATTGCTCTCAATTCTGATACTTTTCACATAGAGTCAAAAGTATTAGAGAATCCAGACCATTTGCCTGGAAGCCTAATGCTGCAGCTCTAGCTTGAACTAAATTTTACTTAGCCCTGTGGAAGTGCAAAGATAAGAGGGTTCACATTCCAGCAAGTTCACAAGATTTCCACATTGAAAAGACAAAATATTCCCTAATCCTTGCTGCTCTGGGAAGGGAAAGAAATTTCCTATTTAAATCTACTAACATATTCCTTCAGTGAAATAAAAATATGTAAGAGCTTCATGCAAAAGCAAAACATAAGGTAATAGACATAGACTGAGGTGACCTGTAGGTCACATTAAAGATCCTGCAAGCTTCTTAACAGATAGTATAACTGTTATTAAATTGATCTCAGTAATAGTCGTAAGCCAGAAAATCTGTGGTATTAGGATATGTTTTAGCCAAAAAGTCATTACTGGCAGGACTGTCAAAAGCACCACCAACATGAAAGCACAAACCCCACCAATTTCAATGCACTTCTCAGTCATTTTTTTAATCTCTTCTGGTTAGGACTATATTAAATTTTAAAATAACTGAGTTTTTTATTTTAATGGTCCCTATTAAAAGCAACATCAAACAAAAGCCTCTGTTGCCATATTGCTTCAGGACAACAGTTACAGATAATTAAAACTGAACATCTGCAACAGCTTATCAATGAGCTGCTGTCTTTGGGGCTCTGCTTTTTGCAAGGACAGGGGCCTCTCACCACACTGGTGTTACTGGAGTTCTTGAGGTGGTTGTGCAGGAGCTTGGTAGCACCATCCTGGAATGTTTTTGGCAAGGCACCAAGTAACATGGTAAACTCAGGAGTGTTCAATTCAAAGAGAGAAATCAGGACTATTTGTGCTGCCTGAAAAGAAGAAAAAAAGAGACCATCAGTTTTTGTTCTTTGAAAAGAGCATGCATTCTCTTGGTAGAGATTCTTACAGTAAATGACGTGTGTTTCATTCAAAAAGAAGACTCTCCTATCAGACAAATTTTTGAAATGTTCTTTGTGCTATATCATAGCAAATTAGTAACAGCAATAGTTTCGTTCTTAAAGCTTAAATATTTCTGCATTTTTATCATTATTTCCCCAGATGTGAAGTGTACAGCTATTCACAGCTAGTGCGAAACTCTTACCATTGTCTTGTCCAGCACATATTTCAATTGAACAAGTTACTGCAAAGATCTACTGAAAACAAATAAAACTAGAAGTTCAAACAAGTATGAAGACTCTAGGACTGCAATCTGTCACTCCTGTGCTTTTTATTTTATGTGTGAATGCCATGAGTTCTCTTGCCACCCAATCTCTTCTCTTCCTAGGGATCCCAAGTTTGTTTCATAAAGCAGATAATCCACCTCTCCTTTTAAGTCTTGACCACTCAGGCTGTTTCAGCAATATGACTCCATCTGAAGTGGAAGATTTATGATGATGCTGACAACCACCATTGTCTCAACCATGGATAGGCTAAACCCCATCAGATTTCCTAAATTTAGTAAGTGAAACTGAGATACCACTGAAACAATTGAGAATTCTACCATTAATTTTACTGGACAGGATTTGCTTTATGTCCTTCAGAGAACTCCTGCCAGAACAGGATCTCCCCTAATCCATTAGCAAACATACAGCCCTGCAGATCCTGAACTAGGACATTGGAATCAAATGGGAATGGAAACAGAATAAATCACAGACTGCAGACCTGAAAAAGTAATTAACATCACATGTTCCTAACTAGACTTCCCCAGCAGCATCCAACCTGTGTGAATGCATCAGTTCTGGGGGCTTTTTCCCTGACTTTACTTCGAAAGTATACAAACATACAAACATCAAGAACAATAAAAATGAAGTAATAATGAAGGACCTCTGATAGTTTACTGCAGCACCTTCTTCAAGGAGGGTGTAACCATTAACACATCAACTTCCAGAATACATATCTGGACACAAAGCAGTGGCTTGGACTCACAAAGTTAAGCAGCAAAGCTACACACACTCTTATTTTGGAAAAGAATACACATATACTTAGGAAGAGCAGACACTTGGGTTTGACCCTTTCAGGAACTTTCTAAAATCTCCTAAAAATGAAAAATAACTTTGAAAAGGGTACACGTGTAATTCACTGCTGTGGGAATAAATGTACATTCGTTATTCTCATCACTTTAAAGAAGGGTTTTTTAGTAAATAATGTGCTCCCAAAGTTGCCATAATTATGCAATTCCCTGTGGAGTGGAATTCTTCACAGATGATGAACTTGGGTACACAAGCACCCTTCAGAGTGGAGGGGAATCACAGTACCTTATTGTTTTAGTGTGCAAACTGCAATTCAAGCTATACTGTTTCTTCTGCCATCAACAGCAACTAGCACAGCTTTGTATATAAAAACATTTTCCATCCATGAAAGTTTGGTATCATCCTTTTCATATGGCCAACAAAGGAACCAAGGCCTACAACACTCAACAGGCTTCCAAGGACTGCAGCAAACGACAGGTCTTCAGACTTCATTCCAGATGGAACATGCTGCCTCTCCTGCCAAAACTCTGACTTGAACAGAATCACAGTATGTGATTATTCACTCCATTCTAAAGATCTAAGGATGAAAGAAGTGAGGAGATCTTTCTCAACTCCATTGTCTACCCTCCTCTGACCTGAAGTTTTGGACAACTGCCATGAAGCCTGCCTGGTATCCAACAAGGAAGTGTATTTCTGTCCATTTTGATCCAAGAACTTTTAAGCTTTCACCAGCACACTATTTGCTGTAATAAAAATATTACTGCACACGAGAGATCTCAGAACAAGGAACAGCAAGTTGAACTGGATGCAAAGTGACAAGTCATGCCAACGTACATTCCTGTTGGTGAATGGCATGCATATCCTTGATAGTTAGGAGTGGACATGCAGATCCTCTGTCAGAACAAGTAGATCTCACATTCATTGAGATAAAAAAAATCCCAAAACAACAAAGCCAAAAAACCCAAAACCAAAAACCCCCAAACCCCACAAAAATCGATCAACAAGGTTACCAGACTGAGAGATTGCTTAGCAATTAGAATATCTGGAGTTATCAACTGGTAAGTCAGGAGCTGCCCAACAGAGATGTTCGAGATGCATCTCAGAGACCTGAGTGAAACTTTCAGCAAAGCTCCACCACAAACACTAATAGCACTGACATTGTGCTACAGGAGTAGCTGAGAGAAGTTTCAGGTCTCAGGAGGTCATTACAGTTTTGTTCCAGTTTTGTTTCGTTTTGGCTTTAATAAAAACAGAACTCTGTGTGCCCTCCCTCTTTGAACAAAACACAGCTTGTCTTCAGGAGTGTCTGCCAGAATTCTGTATACCCAGTGCTTTTCAGCAGCTTTCCTATCACCTGTAAGTAGTCACTGGGCTTAAAATGAAGTGCTTAACAGTAGCTCCCCATGCTCAGTCTTCTGCAGCCTCAAAGAAAACAGACGTATAGTTTATGGTTTTTGAAATAAAGCTGAGGACTACTACAATATCCTGAGAGTGGTGCTCCAGTAAAGGTCTCAAAAACAATACTGGAGTTACATGGGTAAAACCCTGTCTGTATTCTTTCTAAATTATCCTTAGACATCCAACAGCACTTCCAGGTTTATTTCAGGTAAAAGTCATTATTTGAAAGTGCGCCCATATATATTCCTATTTAATACTCAAAGGTTTTGGTCCCTGCCACTGTAAGATCAACGTTTTTACCTACTGGCCTCAAAAGCTGGAAGGTCCATGTTAGCTTGAAATCACGTTTTTAACATGCTTTAAGTTTCACTCCTGCAATGTTTCTAATACAAGTAATTTTATTTCAGTAATGAAGAACATCAGGAGCAGCACTTCCACATCTGTTGTAATACTTAGATCTGGACACACTTGATAATCCTCTAAGTTTCACTCATCTAGCATATTTTTACCTAATCAAAGGATATTGTCAACAAATAATGTTTTTAAGAATTTTACATCTGTGGATTTTAGGTTTGTGACAAACCAGAGACTTTTTCATAATCTCTAAATTTCTGGACGTCTTCTGAAAATCTTGCTTCATTACATTACTGTCAGAGTAAATAAATACAACAAGCAATAAAAAAACCTTATTTCTGTACACAATGTACAAACATTCTCCATGCAACACTCATGCTTGATGATATATAGTCTGAAGAAAGTCATATCTGAATTTTCCCTTGCCTTTGTGTCCCTGTACCATTAGTACGGAACAGTAATCCATCTCCTTCAGTGACATATAATGTAGACCCTACAGATTATCTAATCTTAATGAAGCCATTCTCTGCTGGCTTCAGCTGGAGAAACTCCAGTCACTTCAGAGCCTGACTATGCTAGAGAGGGGATCTGGCTCAGTGTCAGGTTCTTGAATCATTTGCAAAGGATTGCTTATGTAATTTTATTATTTTCCTTATCACAATGCACTGAAATATCAGGTTCCACAAGCCAGTAGCAGCTCCCAAAGTTTCACACTTAGGTCACTGCAATTCCTGCTATCCAACAGTGTCAACTGCTAAAGGGACACAAATGCTTCAGCACTATCTATTTTTTATTTTTACCTAGATGGTGGTTGATAGTCAGATTTATCAAAATCTGTAACTTTTTCAATTTAGCTGAATTATAATCAAGTGTCTTTGAAATCTTTTGGGCTTATTAAGCAAACAGATCAAGGCTAAGTGGAAAAATCCATTGATTTTAGAAAGGAAATGTGGTCAGTGACCTAAGGTTAATATAAGTGTCTTATGATTGCTGCTGCTGCTGCTCCAATGGACCAAGCAGAGTAAGCAGATAGTTGCTTGAGCTACATAAAGGCAGTTTCCAAATTATTCAAACCTCTAGTGGTGATGTGCTCCCAACAGTGGCAGCCCCACAAAAGAAGGGGACTTTATACCCTGATCCTTTTATGAGGAACTACAGTAAGAGAGTTAACAGAAAAACACATCAAAGCCAAAAATTACTTCAGACAGACACACTTTTTTCAGGCTCCTAGTTCAGGTCTCTTTACACAGCTAGACAGTTGAGTTGAGACTGCAAACACAATTAGTGTGATTAGTGCACAAGGCTTTCAGTCTACCTGTTTACATTTCTCTTCCAAGTTTCCTTCACCAGGCCCTGAGGAGGCTGTAGTTGTCCTAGCTGGCAAATCCTCACCCACCCAACTATGCATCGTCTGGGTTTGACAAACAGGAAAGTTGGTATTATTCAAAGAAAACATAGATTTTTAACTCAATCACCTAAACAATACACATGCTATCTTTTTGCAGAAGAATTTTGATCCATTTCTTGCTTCATTTCAAGCAATGGAAACCAATTTAAAAAGCATTATTTGATGTCATCAGAAGAGCATTCCTTTCGGCAGAAGGCAACTGAAATCAAATCAAAAATTAAATTCGGCCACAGCTCTCAGGCTTACAGATCATCCCTTAATTCTTCTACAAGGCTTTACTTTGGCAACCTCCTGGTGGCCTCCATAACCACTTGAAAACCTCAGCTGAGGTGCAGAGCCTAGGCAGTGCTGAACTGAGATAGCACTTGCATCTGGCCAGCCAGGCATGGGGGAATAGGTGCATGTCCCTGCACCTGCCCTCACATATCTCTAAGTTCAGAGGAAGTTACAGTTGAAAACTTGCAAACTCCTGTCTCAGTCTGGTCATCAGTCTGATGGACCAACACTGCCTATAAATGCCTTTTATCATGTGATCAGTCTGGGGAAGAGCCTCACTAACATCTACTCACTTTTGAAAACTGAATCATATTCTGAATGCATCATACACTTCACCATCCATTCTAAGAAAAATGTAGTTTTTAATAACTTACGGCACAATGGAGCAGAGAAGCTCTCTCTCATGTCACTTTGAATTATACTA